AAAGACAACTTAAAATAATCTACTATGCAGACGACGCAATACTACTGGCTCAAAGTTAAGATGATTTACAACGTATGCTGCATCAATTTAATATAACCAACAGAAAATTTAACATGGACAACATAACCCAACAAAGACAAAATGCATGGTTACAACAGCAAATTTACTAAGATGTAAGTTGGAGCTGGAAGATCAGATAATAGAACAAGTAATGGAGTTTAAATATCTAGGCATCACATTATTTAGCTACGAAAATCTCGAAACCGAAGTGGAAGATCAAGTGAATAGAGCAAACAGAGCCACAGGCTGCCTAAATGAAACAAAATGGAGAAATAATAATATCAGGAAAGAAACGAAAGGCAGAATCTACAAAACAGTCATCAGACCAATAATGACATACGCGGCAGAAACAAGACCTGACACAGAGAGGACAAAAAGGATGTTAGAAAGAGCAGAAATGAAAACACGATGAAAAACAAATGAAAAATTGATGGTAAGACACTATGGGACCGAACTAGAAGTACAGATATATGACATAGATGGAAGGTGGAGAACATCAAAAACTGGGTAAGAAATAGAAGAGTAGAATGGAACGATCATATAAGCCGAATGACAACAAATAGAGTAGTAAAGACGGCAAGAGACGGTTCCCCAGTAGGAAGCCGATCAGTAGGAAGACCACGAAAACGATGGAATGACAACTTACTTAAGTCACATTGAAAAACAGACAGAGTCGTCTCTATATAAAAAGAAAAATAAGAATAATTCTAAAGGCATGTAAAAAGCTCCAATACAAACTCAATGTACGGTATTAGCAATCCTAACCAGCTGAAGGAACACGACAATGGTCGACGACTCTACTGACCAGTTACCAAGAACTGTTGCAGTTGAAGAGTGTCCTTAACAGATTTACGTCGTACTTCTGTGTGTGATGAGCAACTTTAATTATTGGGTGCGAATACTTCCGGCCGTTTTGAGTCTCTGGATTCGTTGAATTGAATGATCAAAATAGAAACTAGAATCAATGTTGAAAAATATCGAGTAAATATAGATAGGAAGGACATAAGAAGAGTCAAACAAATAATGAATTTTAAGACATGGAAAGCTTAGACAGTGAACATGAACGCAGAAAGTTTTACAAACGAGTAAGCATCAAAAGAAAAGCTGAAGTCACAAGCAAACCACGTTAACCGACAGAATGGAGCTGCTCTGTTCAACTAAAGAGTAGATGTACTAAAAAAGTGGTAATAACACTTCAGTACTACTTAGAGATACGTCATGAAACTGTCGAAATTGTGAAAGGATTTCAAAAATAATACATCCAAAGAAATAAGAACGGGAATATGTATGTCTAACCGCTGCTGCTTTGGCCCATGCTATCATTTACGATAATAAACATGGACAGTTACGACAAGAGATGAGTTGCTTATTAACTTTGACAGAAAAATTGCAAGATCGGATATGGCGCAGTTAACGAATAGCATCAATAAAGAAGACCATCAACAGTCCATCCTTCTCCAGAACTTTTCAAATCCAAACAAATATGTAGTCCAAACAAGAAAATCTAGCCCGTTTGTGGCTTGAAGCATGCCTGATATTCAAATATTTGAGATTATAGGATGACTAGATAATAAAAACTAAATTTTCTCAGTCTCAGATAAAATTAATATCAGGAAAAGTTCGTAGAAGTGAAGATTATAAATTACAACGAAATATTATTCAATCTTTGAAAGTACAATTGTTACTTACCCTACTGATAAGTTATTTTGCATGTTACCTAAGCTCTCTATAAATTAAAAAATCCGATAATTACTGGTGACTGTTGATTCACGATATCTCACTCGTATCTCAGTACTATTTTGCAGTACAGTAAATAAAACTGCCAAGAGCAAAGGTATAGATGATAAAGATCACAGTAAGCAAATATAAGAATAAAAGAGTATCCGAGCCTCAGAAGAATGTCCTGGATGAGAAATCTAATGCAGCTATAAACAAAGTTCGAATACCCTTGATAATATCCAATCGCCGATAGGAGAGGAACGGAAAGAAGAAATAAAACTGCGGGAATCGGTTTGTAGTATGAGAATGTCTCAAACTAAATTTAAATCAAACATATGTAAAATAAGTTTTACGATTTTATTACGGACATCTTAGAAATGTGAATTTCTAAGATTTCTGTTCATCCTTATGTCATTGTACTGAATCATAGGATGCTGTATTAGAGAAAGCTTATTGCAATTTATGGAGTATTTTAAAAACAATTCATATAGTTTGCATGATGTGTCTTTACTTGCCTGTCCCAAAAGTTAACTAACAATCCTTATATTCAGAAAAATGGAGGCAGGCTATATTAGTCAAAAGTGACAGACAAATTTCTACTAGCAATAAGGCATAGAAGGAAGAAGAATTTATCACGGATCACGATATGTCTTGCTGTAGTTTGTCTTTAATCGGAATCAAATCCAATGGACCGTTTGTACGTCTATGTTTTATTCACATAAATTCCATCTAAACAATAAAAACAATCGTTAGTTTTTTTGTCAAGACATAATTAAGAATCTCAGTACTTTTAACCAAGTATGATTCCATAATAAAGATCTATAAAAACACGGACAGGTGTTTTGCTCGGTTGTCTCTGAATATGGAAAGAAAATCTGTCTTGATGACATGAGATATAAAAACAAAGAATGCCGGCTGGTACTTTTATCGTTAAATATCTAATGCAATAAAAGGATTAACAAGTGGGATTTGTTGCCATGTACAGATTGGAGCATAGATCGACGTAAATAGACATACAGATAAATATCATATACGTAAAGAGAATTGACATCGTTTGATTGTAAAAAGTCGACACGTCGAACTCTACGAATACCAATATGCTATTAGAAAATATTTCCGAATCGACAATAGATGTTTTTATTTTGTAACAAGTGTATGATCGGAGATAATCCTATTAAGCCATCTGAAATACAAAGAAGATATGTTGTAGTTATACCGAACAAACGTTTAAAACAATGCAAAAGTTGTTCGATAACAGAGAGATGACGCAAATTCGGGGAAATGTTTTCCAGCGTTCTGTTTAATAGAAAAGGTCGACATATTATATTATATGAACAAGAGATTCAGAATCTTGAAAAGTATTGACGAGGACTCAAAAAGAAAAAGTACGCTAAAAATATGCTAGAAAGTGGAAGACTTAATATAAAAAAGATATAACGTTTTCTATGGGAGATGTTAAAAGCTAGAACCAAGAAAGGTAGGGTATTTGAACAGTATACGGAAAAAAGACTGTATGCACTGGAAGCACACACAATGGATGCTGTATCATGTCACTTGGCTGATATAAACTTAAAACTTCGATCAGATGACGGATTTGGATGGATTAGCACTTCCGAAGCGCACCAATGAGATTTGAACATACCAGCTTCAACCCAAAGAATATACAAATTAACAAATTTGAAAGTACCGTTTCCTTTGGAAGTACAACAATTTGCTGTTTTATAGCAGTCGATGCTTTGGAACAAATGACCACCTACAAGCACTAAAAACACTGAAAGTTTGTTGAGTGTATTAAACCACTCACGTTCATATATAGGTTGACAGATGATGATAATATTAAAGAGCCGATGAATCACAAAACTTTACATGACTCTCAGACTATACTATCGGAAGTCGACCTTCCAGCTTCCTCATAAATTTGAAGTTTGGTCTCCGGCGAGGTCGGATGCTATTGTAGATGTGACTAGACATTGCCATAAATAACAGTGTCAAGATTTTATCATACAAATAAATAAAGACTACGGTTGGGACAGGAAAAAATAGTATGGTCTTATATAGCAAATATTTGGAAACGTAAATCTCTGTAAAAGAATCAAGATCACATTTTATAGAAAAATTGTAGAAAAAATACGAAAAAAAGCCATAAAAAAGTTCAAATCAAGAAAGTACAAGGTCCGCACGTATCTTGTCTGCACTCGTAAAAACAGATCACAAAAACTACACAAGATTAACTACGTTTTGGGCGATGAACACTCCTGCACTTTTTGCATTATCGACTCCTGGCCCGTGCTATACCTCCATATACTGCTTATAATGATTCTTGTGATAATGATGCTCATTTATGATGACAGATTATTCAATATAATGATTTGGGTTTCTCTGATAGCTTATGAATCCAGAAAAAACGGCCAGAATCACGGTATAATAATAAATTGTCGGAACATGGATTATAATAAAAAGAAACTACATCATATGCACAATTTACTTCATGTGGGGTAAATTACAATTACAAAAGAACACCACATAATGGGTTATACGGTGAAAATTTCTTGTTTTTCTACATTATCATATGTCAAGGAATGTCACTTTGAAATAGCCCTGTTATTTCATACAGTTCTGATGAGAAGTACTAAGTACTGAGCCCTGGCAATCCTACTTTGACATGAAACTTCATCTTCTTATCAACATATCAGTATTTTCCACACATTTTCGTACAGTAGTTATTACTGAATGGTGAATGAACCCCGTTTGCTTACAATCTTTATAAATTTACTAATTTCTGACTTTCCAAGCGTATTAAATTATTTTACTCGGATTATTTATACTATCTAGAGCAACTATTGTCTAATGAACTTGCTTGTCTTTGGTTCAACTTATGTTCACTGTACTTTACCACTACAATCGCTACTTACGTATTTCTTTTATTTATTAAATATCACATTTAAATGATTCAGCTAAACAGTTTTTCTGCCTCTAACTCGTACTATTATCATCTCTATTTGCCCTCTGTATATTTTTGTATCAGTTAAGTAATTAGTATTATTTTTCACAACAGTCTTTTCCAAGTTAGTAATCTTGTTAGAGCAGTTGTTCGTTTTTATATGCCATGTGTATACATTTCAATAATTAATCTCACATATTTTTATTATTTTACAGAAACTCTACCGCCGCCACCAGCCACGTCGATAGCCAGCGTCGTGCCGCAACCGCCTCCGGTAACGATGCCTAGCGTTCCGACGGCGGTATCGATGCCGCAGCCCGCAGCTGCTCCGGTTGTTCATCATCCACCAGCACTCGATTCTTCAAGCATTATTCCTGGTGGACATGCGATGAGAACCGAAAGTCCAGCGGTTGCGACTTCTGCTAATGTCGCCGTTGCTCCGTCTCCGAGTCAGTACCATCATCCCGCGTCGTATCAGCACCAGGTAAGTTTCACAGACCTTTGAGTGTTTGATAATTTGTCATCTTCGTTTATCATTGATCATGTTTTTATCATATTTATAATTATGCTATCCGGCTTTCAATCTTGAAGTTGTAATAATGCTGAAGGAAATGCATTATTTGGGAGTAGGTGCAGATTATTTTCAATTTAAAGTAGTCAAGAGAGAATAACGATACATCTTTACGATACAATCTTTTTCAAATAACAAAACTTTATTTTACTTACAAAATGTTATTATCATGATTTAATACTAATCCCAAATACCTACGGGATCAAAAGGATTAAGCTCTAGTGGTACTTTTTGCGTGTTATCGAGCCCCAGGTAACTTGGTACGCTGGAGTGTCTCCTAAAAATGTTCGTACACATCTGGATGTCGAGAGTAATACAGCTTTCTAAATGTTCTTTTATAGAGATGTTCAATCAGACCCAGCTTTTTTAGGTTTTCTCCAAGAGGTTCTTCGGAATGAGTTCAGCAATAGAGAGACAAATAGGGATTGTATGTGTACTACCTTTCGTTATCCCGGCATTTGAATTTCCAGATCTCTGTACTTGGCGATCTTTTCGTTATATTTAACACGCAGATTATTGTTGTTAGCTATCGTCACATGTGTTAGTGTTAGCTTGTTAACTACTGTGATATCTGGTGTATTATGGGCCCCTTGTTGGTCTACGAGCAGAGTGCGGTCCCAGTATCTGATCGTGTAGTTCAAGCATACTGTCAGGGACATATTAGTAATAAGAGAGATGGTTGGCTTGTAGAGGTCCTAGTATCTCTTTATAAAGGAGTTTCCTACTGACTCTTGCCATTCCTTATATTCAGTTGCATAAAATAAATGGCAGCTTCCGATAAGATGTTGGATGGATTCCTGGACTTGACATTCACATCGGCATTTGTCGTTTTGGACCTGATGATCTTTGGCAATATATTTCAGGTTATTTTTGGTTAGTATAACCTGATCCCGAATGGCGAGTAAGGAACGTGTTTTTCTAATTGTCCACTATATTTGCAGGTATTTTCCTCTAGATACCGCGGTAATGACGTTTTTCTACTGCACGAAAATGATGTTTTTGTGCTTATGTGAGTTGTCTTCTACATCCGTTAAAAAATTTCTATATCAGTTTCAGACGGATTATAATTAATAATTCCAAATTCCAAATAAGCTAGCTTATTTTACATTTTTAATATAGCTGATCACTTCAGGACTATTTCGAGCTGCGGTCAATAAAGTTAGCATTGCCATGCTAGTAGCTTACATCCGTAACGGATAGGCACCACAAGAAGAAGAATATAGCTGTAGAATTGAGACATAAATTATATACCCTACTCCAAATTATAGTTTGGTTTGTTTTTTTTACTTTTACATTTTTTTTATCATCATTGTACGGTACGATTTTTTTGAACACTCCGAACACTTCGAACACAAAAGATGTACTTTCGTACATCTTTTCCGAAGTTAGCGTTTTACTATATTTCGGTACCTTCTTTGTCATACAGCGTGTTTTCCTGAAAATCTTTTTTTATTATATATCAGTATGTTAGCATTCTTAAGCATCTTCTATTATTTATATTTCATTTCTTTTACAGCCAACTCCATTGTACACTCCCTATGCAACAACCGCCACAACAGCACCGCCGCCTCACACTGCTTCTCCATACATGTCGACTCCAACACCTATGACAGCAACGGCAGTAGCGCCGACCGCTATGAACGCAGCCACCGCACCACCTGGACCACCGCAGGCAGTACCACCACAGGTGGCGGTCGTTCCGCCACAAGTGGCAGTCGCCAAAGTGTCGTTGCCTCCACCTCACATAGAGAGGGAAAAGATGTTGCCGCCTTCACAGCAAAGAGGGCCTAGCCCCATTAGAGAAAATCGGGAGAGGGAAAGCTATAGGTAAGCATTTTGCATATTATCATAACCTATAAATACTACTTATTTACGTGCTTCAATATCCGTGAATCGCGTATCGACAGAACAAAAAATAAAGCATTATGAAAGTATATGGTTATAAACTAAAAGATTAGCTGAATATAACATCGTGAAGTTCTACAAAATATTGACAGATTAACCTATTGATTCTTGTTTTTATTTTATAATACTTCAATGACTCCTGGTTCAAATCCAAATAATTTTTATACCAAATATTAATACACCTTTTTGATCGTTTGGTTTCTTCATCTTTTGATAATAAGTAGTAGGTACTTGGACCAATTTTTTTTACATTTTTATTTACTTATTTCTGACCTCATAAACGGCTTTACTACCACTCATCTTCCTGTCATAGTGTTCATGCTTCACTATATAGCCATAGTTTTACAGAGAGTTTCGAAAACTGTTACAATTTTCTACTGGGCATTTAGTTCGCTAATGGTATGACGTTTAAAAAGAATTTCCAAATTGTTGATTTGTTAATTGTCTTTCGATGGTTTTAAATTTTAAGCACTCATATTCTGCTTCCTATTATGTATCTCCCAATATGATGCAACGATGTATTGAGATCTATTTAGCCTAGACTTGTTCCATGGATAACGAAAATATTGAGTTACCATAGCAATGAATAATAACCTGTTAAGTTGCGAAATTAAGTTTTAAAAATTGATGTCAACCGAAATTAAGAAAACAATTGGAATATCAAGTCTTCATCAAGTACCTGTATTTGAAGGCATTAAGAAGTAAGCAGATTTAAGATCTGCTTAATATATAACCAATAAAATAAACATCTTACATTTCTTGCAAATTCATTAGTACCTGTTAACCTCCATCACTCCGACACTGGCAACCTTATTTAGGGATTAGTAACCCTCACAACTATTGTATTCTATTCTGCTCTAAACCTTTATACCTGGTGGTCATACTCAATTTAAAATTGTTTTCCTATATACTTCTGTAAACTTGTTGACAAATATCTGTTTTTCATTGAGTCACCCGTATCAACAGTTTAGGGATTTGCATACATAATTTATTGTTTTATTACTCTCTCATACATAAAAATACATTATAAACATGGCATCTGTAATAATACCTGAGCATACGAATCCTTAAAGGTAGCGCTTGTTTTACTCGGTCTTACGTTTTATTAAATGTGCAACCCAAATATTTGTGCTCTTGAGGGTACTGCACTGATCTTTTAGCGTGGGTTTCTCGTTTCTCGCTTTTAGCGTTTGTATTTTTTGTTCATAATTTTATTAAAAATCCCGAGATAAACTACTGTTGAAAAATGGTTATTGATAAACCACCAAATGTTTCTGAGTGTGTAGGTGTCAACTAGCAGACAGCTTAACATCAGTTACTAGATTATCATAAAATAAATTTATTTTTCACCGTGCTAATGTTTTATTAATTTATTATCGAAATCACGAAATACTCCTAAAATTTGGACTGCGGCAATAAAACGTCTAAATAATTATTATTTATGAATGTTTTTACACAGTCACAATTTTTACATGCTATAAAGTTGTGTAAACAGAATAAAAAGAATATTAACGGCCATACCGATGGCTTCCACTTAAAATTCGATGGAAATAATCTTATGCATATTTTAACATTCAATAAGTAGTTGCATAAATTATAAAGACATAATAAATAACAAAGATATATGACAACAGGTTAATTCTTTTATAGTGTGGCCCAAGAAATAAGTGGTCATATATCAGACCAATATTCTTTGATTTCTAATCGATTTATATCAAATTATCCATGTCTAGTAGCACTTTTTGTGTAGAATAAACCGTTCTCTCAGAAACAACGCTTAAAGCGACCGACGATTTTAAATGTCAGTTATGCGCGTGATCAATTTTTTAAGTAAAATTTGTATCAACTCGACGGTAAAAATTCGATATCTTTTGATCAGAGTGTCCTATCGACAAAAATCAAAATCCGTTTTAAAGGAGAATAGTGCATATTTCGAATACAATTGTTATATTTTGTCGAAAATGAAGTTAATTCCATTGTTAGAGCATAATTTTTAAAATCTATACCATGAAATTTGGATTTTGAGTTTTGACAACAAATAAGAGGCATTTGAAATATGTCTAAAAAACGCTGAACGATCTAAAACATTTTAAAACTCTTTCTTTTCGATTGCACAAATACGTTTTTCGAAACTACACAACTTCAGCTACAAATCCACCCAATGCCGTCTGAGTGGAAGCATCTCCCGTGACGTGCAATCGTTTGTAATGTGAAAGTTTAAATTCAGCGTTTTTAGGCATATTTCAAATGCCTCATATTTGATGACAAAACTTACAATCGAAATTTAATGTTATAATAAGTAAACTTGCTCAAATATGCAAAATGCATATATTGAATGTTTTGCATATTGTTCAGTTTGTGGCAAAATTGTTAGTACTAAATATTTAATACTTCTCTAAATTTGATATATTATTTAAAATATTTTAATGATTGTATAAATGAACGTAGATAAAAGGGAATATTATAATTACATTTTAATATAATACCAATACCTGTTTATGTATATTTTATTATAAAATAAATGTAACAATAAAACACTGAAAACTTTGTTTTCAAACTTCCACACAATTTATTTTGAATCTTATCACTACAGCTGTTTCAGAAAGCTAAAGGTAAAGCTGTTATCATTACAGAAAGGCAATCAGCCGAAACAGCTGTAGTGATAAGATTTAAAATAAATTTTGTGGAAATTTGAAAACAAAGTTTTCAGTGTTTTATTGTTACATAAAATGAATTTCCATCAAGTAACGGTCGAATCCATCAATTATATAAAATAAATATTTTAACTATTGCTCAATTATCAGTCAACTTATTGACAACAATGACTCAGTCATTGCTGAATTATAGATCAACATATCAGAACTGCGTCAGATTTAGCCAAAAAAGACAAAACTAATAAATCTGGAGAAAAATATCAAATTTCGGTTTCTACATTCTTGTCGGTCAAGTTGGAAAGAAGGAAACGAACAAGATGCTTTTAATGAAGACTTGTGCCTTGCATTAATCTCTTCAAATATACCAAATAGTATCAATATAATTTATATTAATATATATAATATGAAATTATCCAATTAAAACTTAACTTCTTTAAAAAATATATTGTAAATTGAATATTCAAGATATAATTCTTGTTTAACGAGATTTTTCATATGTTTAGGAAAAAATATTTAACGTTTTATTGCAAATATTTTACAGTTTTATATATGTTGTTATTAAATTTTTTCCGGTTTCCTACCGGTAGCTTTATTATAAGCCGAAACATATTATTTTTTCCTATTCCCTATTCCTATTGCTAAGTATTTCTTAGAATCATATCTTTATGCTGTAAGAAAATTTAAAAAATCGTATGTTTGGTTTTCCCGCTTTATATTTGGAAAAAAAGTAGTTTTTTTAGTTTTTTCGAAAATGAACACATGAAGTTTGCTTAAAATTTGTCAAAATACTTCAAATCATCACATATACCTTTTCAAATTTTTTCAAATTTTTTGAATGCGTAGTTTGTCTTTTGGGGAGTGCAGATCAACCTTAATGGTTGGTGTTCTAAGCGATCAGATCTTACCAAAATCCCATTTATTTGCATGCGCGCAATTAGAAAAAAACTAACATTCCAACAATATCACGTTTTGTACAAGAAGATATATCAAAAAACTTGTAGTGTATTTGTATATACCTATATACAAAATGTGAAGTGTTTTACGTCTGTATAAGTTTTTTAAACGATGGTATACAGCCAACTACTGGGATTTTCCCATTAATTTTTAAGATATATCAAAATTCTTTCTTAATGCAGCTGTTCCTAGCCATAAATTATTGAGTTTTTTATCTGATTTTGCACCATACATAGTAAAGTTAGGACAAAATTTAAAAATATTTTATACCAACTCTAACCTACTTGTTTAAATGAACAGAATTGCGGAAGAAAGTAAAAAAAAAGTTTCCTTTTGTAAAATCTCAGATAATAAAACAGTGTTCCTCAAATCTACTATAAGAATTCAAATGAAAAAAATTTTTCCAAATATTCCACTTCCTCCGGAACCCATTATAAGCGATGTGGAAGCCGCTTTTTTCTATTCAGACTATTTCCTAGATTTGAACAATATAATTGACGCTTTAACGGATGAATGTTCCCAATATCTGCTAGATGCTAAATAAATTTTTAAAAACAAGGTTTTTCAGCAGCAACTTTCATTAGTTAAATCAAATTTTAGTTTTCTTCAAAAAACTATTACTCAATTAGAATCATCAAAGTTGATCTTGGTTCAGATAACCTTTGCAAAATGTTGGGGTGATATTTGACACAACACAAATGGTGACATTGGAAAGATATTTTTTAAAATTTTGAAACAATACTTAAAAAAAATGGTTTTCAGAAACTTACGGAAGTAGCTTACGTTCTTGTTGGTAATTTTTATGGATTTAGAACCAAGTGTTTGTGAATTTAAAATATGGTCCCATTACATCCGTTGACGTGGAAAGAAGTTTCTAAATTTACAAATATGTATATGTACACATGTAGAAGCCTAATTCATAGGATTACCACAACGTGTGATGAATATGGCCTTAAGCTAAACACCGCAAAGACAAAGGTGATGGTCGTCAGTAAAACGCCAATACAACCGGAAGTGGTAACAGCTTATGGTGACCAACTAGAGAAAACTAACAGTATCACTTAACTTGGTTGTAATCTAAATGAGAACTGGGACATGAGCAAAGAAATTAGAATACGGATAGAGAAGGCCAGAGCTGCATTTTTTAAGATAAAGAAACTTTTATGTGGAAACAATATTACTTAAGTCTGAAAATTAGATTAGTGACATGTTATGTGTTCTCTACTCTTTTGTATGGTGTCGAGGGTTGGACTTTGACGGATACACTTCTCAAGAAACTGGAAGCCTTTGAAATCTGGGTGTATCGGAGAATCCTACCAATAAGTTGGGTGGATAGAGGTTGTAACGAAGTTGTTTTGCATCGGATGGAAAAAGTTACGGAAGTCGTCAAAACAGTTAAAAATCGCAAACTTGAATATTTTGGCCATGTTAGGCGTCACCCAGAGAGATATAATATACTCCATTTAATAATACAAGGCACGGTAGAAGAGTATTTTATTACTTTCATTGCAATTAATTAGTACATTACAATAATTACCTACTTAGTTTAAATTTATTTATATTGTTTTCTAATTATTAAATTAAAATTAATATACCATTATTAAATATATGTGTCCATTGACAGTACCTATGCATAGTTTCTAAAAAAATGCATATTTAATGTGTATTGTCTAAAAGAAATGAATATTTAATGCACATTTTTGCGTAAATTAGTGCCTATTTTGTGCGCATATTTTTCACTTTTTTATAGTCTAGTTATAGCTTTTTAAAATTTATTTATTCGACTATTATTTATTTATTTATTTATATATTTATTTATTTATTCGATTATTAATTTATCGACTTTCATCGATAGGACACTCTGATCAAAAAAAGTTAATAAGTTAATAAAAATTTCATTCAAAAAATTGATTTCGCGCCTATAACACACTCAAAATCGTCGGTCGCTTCAAACGTTGTTTCTTACAGAACGAACCGTCCATTGTACTCAAAAAGTGCTAATAGCATGTTTGTTCAAAACCATCTCAGCTACATTTTTTGTTTAAAACATTCTTTTTTTACGGCGTATAGGTTCTTTGGCAAATCAATTTCTTCCATTTCTCCCCTACGCAGGGGGTAGGAAAGAGGAAGGAAACCGGGGGTTCGAGAGGCAAACTGCATCTTTTTGGGATCCCAAAATTGACATTCTCGGCAAAATTCGGCTTGTTTGTCTAGTTTTTAGAGATCAGTAACAACAAATTTTTCTTCGATATTAACATATATTTCAATTAAGGGTATGAAGGCAACAATTCAAATGATGTGGAGATAATGAAATACCGCTACTGTTAGACGAATTATTGATCGTAAAATAAATTAAGAGAGAATCCAGCTGATTTAAATCATCTGGGTATAAATATGAAATGGTGTTGAACCGTGACTCAGAGGTCATTTAAATAATTTCTCAATATAATTAATTACGATAAGATAATGAGATTTTTTTACAAATAAGTAAAATCATATATTTAAAAAGAAGATTTATATATGTTTACCAAGAGTAAATTTCCATAAACGTGAACCTTGTTTCATTTGAGATATTATTAGCAAAGTCATATTTTTTAATCGTTTGGTTTTGTGTCATTTGCTGCTGATATTTTGTTACATAAAATGATTTTTAAGTCTGTTTAGTCTTTTATAATTTATAAATTGTCTATTTTCAATGAAGTTCTTATTTGTGGCTCTTCCTGATATTTCCATAGGCGCCATTTTTATGAATCCGTAATATTGTAACTAACATACACAATGAACCCTATTACTAAGAGGTAGGCTCATTCATGCCACTAATATATTTTGTGTCTCGAAGGCACCGTTGCTCAGTCGTTGTAGATGATGGACGCGGTCACTTAGGAAAGAGGGGAACACGTGAAAGATGTAAACGAAACAAAAAAGAACGCCACTGTATTTAAATATCTGAATCACAAAAAGCAGGATTGGGATGATAATGATACCAAAAGGCTAAATGGAAGGACCGATATAAATCTTAAAAAAGAAATGAAAATATATTCAATATATATAACAGGTTTAAAAAGAGCACAAATAGTTAAATAAAAAATACGCTCCGATGCAAAAAAAACACAACAGAGAAAATTTTGGTCAAATTCAAATTTGACCAAATTTTTATTTCTTGAACTTTTATTTCAGTTTTTTTATTTTTAGTCATATTTTGATTATTTTTTTAATACTGTGTAAAAATTATACTGTCTAAAAATTTATAAATTTTAATTTAATATAGTGAGTTTTTTTATAAAATTTTGTATTTGACTTATTATACGGGGTAAATCGAAAAATGGTTTTTTATCCTTTGAAACATCCTGTGGAATAATCCCATTACCGGATTTTCGTAAAACCTTGTTTTTCGGTTGCAACCATGTCTTCTAAATATTATGTTTTTGTTTCATGTGAAAATATGGATTGGTTCATTTTTAGGAGCGACATGACTTTGCCACCCACAATTTACGACTTTTCCGACATTTGACGACATTTGTATTAACGACATGATCTTGGTTTTAATAAACAATGATAACAATAACAAAAATAGACGCGTCGGTTCATGCTGTCTATGAGTTTGCGAATATAATGTTGCTGGATGTTTTGCTATTCCTCTTCTAGAGTCAAGCGAAGTTCGTTAATTGAGGCTGGTGCGACTTCGCGACCTCTAATATTTCTACCAAGCATGTCCCAAACGTGCTCTATTGGGTTCAGATCTGGTGAACTCGCTGGCAAGTTCATTTTATTAATACCAACTTCTTCTTAATATTGCGTGACACACATTGCAGAGTGGGGTCGCGCATTATCTTGCGTTAATAGAAAATCATCGCCGATATATTGAGAAAAGGGTACTACGTGATTCTCTAAAATTTTCTCAATCTACCGGTGTGTAGTCAACGAACCATCAATAAATACCAATTCAGTTTGCGCCTCTCGGAATATTCCTGCCCATAGTATCACCGAACCCCCTCCATGGCTAACGCGGGGACTGAAACTCAAATCTCTCTCCAGTTTGACGCCATACTCGTTCTCTCCCATATGATGAGTGAAGACAGTATTCCTAAATTCCAATGTAAATGTTCCCTGGAAAATTGTAGTCTAGCCACTCTGTGCCGTGGAAGTAATTTGGGCCCAGTTGCTGGTCTGCAACTTTACAAACCAAATTCATGTAATCTTCGACGAACTGTAACCTCTGTAACACTTACATTATTGCCACGAACCTCTTGAACCTGATTTCTTCTAAATAGGTAGTTTTGCGCTTCCTGCCACTTCCCACTTTAAGCTTGTTTGTTCCAGCTCGTATAAAACGTTCCACTACCCTTTGGATGGTATAGCGATGAATGTGAAGTACTCTAGCCACATATTCATAATTTCGCCCATCTTCAACCAGAGCAACGGCTTTCGCACTATCTTCGACACTAAGAACCATGATCAGTCATAGGTTAATAAAATGTAAGTGTCATTATGACATAATGATAACAGTCACCAAAGCCATCTCGTCGTATTACAAAATAATTATAATTAAAAAAGTCCTAAATTGTGGGTGGCAAATTCATTTGGCTCTAAAAAGTGAAGCAAGGTATACATATTTTGACATGAAACAAAAACACAATGCTTAGGAGACATGATTGCAACCGAAAAATAAGGTTTTACGAAATATACCCACTGTATAAATTTATAAATTTATCAAACTTGATTTATTTATTTAAAACTTGAATTTTGAACTTTGAATTTGACCCATTTGAACATTTTCTCCATTGTGTTCTTGTTGCATCTGAGTGTATATAATTCACTATATAAAAAGTATTATATAGTATATAACTACATTTGTAGAATTTAAAAATTAAATGTGACTCAAATTAATTGAATATACAAATTAAATGTGAAGTACTTGTGCCCAGTTTCGTAGTCAGCAATAAATACGCTTTAAACTTAAAAAATAAAGAAAAAGGGTGGAGAATACTGCATAAACCTTATTCAGCCTTAAATCCAAATAAAGTCCTCAAATGGCTATTACTGTTCATTGAATTAGTTAATTGTCTTAGCATTGTCGAAATCAAATGGAGATTTGGCAGGTTACCCGTCAAAATTAAGAATATTAGCAGTGAAAATTTGTAGAGCACCGGTCGAAATTAAAAAATATTGGCGCCGAAACTTTGCGGAGTCCCGGCCTAAATTAAGACGTTGAAGAAACGAGAAATACAAAAATAAAACATGTATTTAATATAATTATATTATATCTTAATCAATTAAAAAGTTCCAATAAAAGAAAGAAAAGTTCAATATTTCGGATATTGCTTAGAGAAAAATACGACCTCTTGTGGCTGATCCAAGGTAAAATACAGAGCAGAAGGATTGTTGGGCGAAGACGAACATCTTAGTTGAAGAATCTAATAGAATCATATGATTGTAGCTCAAAGCAACTCTCTAGACCAGTTGCTTCGAAAATTAGAGTGGCTATGTTGATTGTCAACCTCCGTAACAAAGATAAAATTAAAAAAAAAAGAAGCAGAAGTAATTTTATCTAAAATCATTGTGGTGTATTCTCGTACTATAAAACATTCCGTGTATCTTTTAGTATTATGTTTTTCTTAGTAAAGAGTTGAAGCTTTATGGATAATTTATGACTAATGATCACTTTTCGTGTTGCTTTATAAATAATTTACATATCAATATGTTTATGTTTATGGTATTATTGCTTTTGCTGTTTCGAGATAAGGAATAGGTTAAACATTTTTTGTTATTAATTTGGTACACATTTGTTAATACGTATTTCTTTTAACCTTTCAGTAATGTCGGAAGCCTGAGTCGAACCAGCATCGCGACGACAACGCTCAGCTGTCCCCCGCCCACCACCACAGTGTCTTCTAGTCTAGCACCAAGCAATTTAAGCAAGCCATGGACGGCGAGTGCACCTTCCGTCGCCCCAACGGCAGTATCAGCCGCTGTGCCTCCAACCCAACTAAGTCCAGCCCCTCCAAGACCAACGCCTCCTTTGCATTCCAGTTTCCCTGCTACTCCAATGTTCGCCACTCCACTACCGCCGCCGGTATCGAGAGCTAGTCCCATGACGGTACCATCGGCGATGCCCCCCTCGAATCCTAATCCCTTTTCGGCGGAAAGTTTGTTCCAGTCTAATAAGTATCCAACAAGTGAGTATTACAATTTGAGATTTATTATTTGTTCTGAATGACAATTTAATAGTTCATATATAAATAAACAGGCTAAAATAAATCTTAAACACTTCGTTTTATGGAAGTACAAAATATAATTTTGTTTAATGTAGTAATAATTTAGTGGCACGTACCCATTTCTTAAGTAAATATCAATGAAGTCTAGAGATAAAGGAAGATATTAAAACGACAATGTACGAGAAAAAATAATACAAGAGCAGGAATTATTACTAAACCAGAAAACCTATTAGTACCTAAAGTAGTCTTTCTAATTATTAAGGCAGCCTGAGAAATAAAAAGAAAGAAGACGTGGCAATCAGAAGCGGAAAGAAAGAATGGAAAAGAATAATGGCTTGTCGCAGGTTTATGTGCTTGCCCTTTTATTTTTAAACATCTATATTGCTGACATAACTACAACCGAATGTCGCAAATTTGGATATGCTGACGCCTGGACCTTTGCAACAAGCCATAAATCCTTATGCCTCTACTACACATCGGCAGACGTGCCTGGGGACGCATCTGCAGATGTATGATCACAAGCTGACCACACATCTGGACACATCTGTAAATCGTTCAGTCTGTGTTAATTCCGGGAAGATGCAATATCTACGCGAGCATTAAAAAAAATGGATGTTGATATTGAGACCATAGCTGCCGCATCTATATGCCTATTTAGAACGTTCACCTACTACTTGAGTGTACGTCGCATTAGAATAATTTAAAAAAAATGAAAAAGAAGAAGTCAGAGGTCAGGTGTGTGGAAATTCGTCGAACGTCCGCACCGAAACCCTTTGATCTGTGCTAAAAAAACCGACAACAATCGGATATCTTGAAGACGCATCCGCGTCAACAGATGATCAAATTACCCCATCTACACATCTCCATATGCATACGTAGATGTCGTCTGCGGACGCGTCTGCCGATGTGTAAAGGAGCCATAAGACACTGTCGATTCATCCTGAGCGAATACTTAATATAGATTATACAAACAAAGTACTACACAAAATGAAGTCTCAACAATAGGCTAGCAAACAGAGAAATACAAGTGTATTTAATAACTATTGAAACACAATAAATATCTGAAATACCTTGGGGTGACCCTAGATAGAATAAGATTATCTGATGAAAACATCAGCAAACCTAAAAACACGTAAAACATAACATACAAACTCTGGGGTATTACATGGGTGTCTACAGTATCAAAATCCTTAAGACCCTCTACTCTTGGACCGATATATCCGGTGGCAGAATACTGTGCGCCGATGTGGTTGAACAACAGACTTACCCACCTGGTCGACATTCAGCTTAACCATGCTATGCGTATGATAACAGGCACAATTATGTCCACTCCCACAGCCACCTTTACTTCCAAGCCATGAAGTAAAAAAGGCAACACCGCATTCTATGACGTCGGTAGTCCGATAATCAGCTGTGATGTCTACCAGAAAATTAAAATAATTTGAACTTTAGGAAACTGATATTTTGAAAACTTCAATTCATTACAGAAATATTTTTAGGGAAATTAAATTATTAAAACCTTATATATACCTAATAAATATATATAAAGTTTTATTAATTATTAAGGTTATATTATCAATAAAATAATCATTAGAGTAAAATTTATTGAACTTAAAATACAGTGTCAAACAGTTAATCTTACAATCAAATGCAGTCAAGAATCTCTAGAAATTTTAAATATTAAGTATTTAAGCATATAAATAACACAATACATAAACACGACATTTAAAAAGATTATTAAAAATACAAAAGATATAAAATTTGTTAAGTAAAAACTTAGTAAAAAAATAGTAGTGTAACTATTATGATGAAAAAATTCATCCTAAGAAATCAGACACAATATAAATATGGTTCTAAATTAATCTAATTCAAAATTAAATATTTTACTATTTACTTATAACTTTTGTTGAATTTTTATGCTTAGGTATACGAAAGTAGCAATTTTAAATATGAATAGGTTTTTGTCATATAAACCAAGTTAAAAGGGTTGAACACATGAAAAATGTGTTGAATGTAACATACCATTTATAACTTCTATATCGATTTAAAATAGCCTATATTCTCAAAAGATTTTTGAATGTAATACTCAAATTTTATTATCACTTATCTAAAAAGCAGATCTATATCGAGAAAGTAAGTTCTCTAATTGTGACCATCTTGTTAATTTACTATATTGTAAAATCCATTTCAAATCATTACTACTTAATCTATTCTTACCTACATTGACGATTACACTAAAATTACTGCTAACTATTGCACTACTTATTACATAAATATTATCACATTAGTGTCTCAACTGATTATTGTTTAATACATAGAAATATACACTGTCACTTGTAATTTTACTTGTCCAGTTTTTCAATGGGATATTATTGTCTAAGTCTCTTAAAAATGATTCAAATGAATCTATTAAATCATTGTCTAAGAATTCTGTTATCTCTTGTTCCCTCTTCTTATGCAAAAAGTTTCTTCTGTCTTCGGGATTCCTTCTTTCTTTAGTACGATGAACAGTTACATATAGTGGTACTTCAGGAAATATATTAGGAACTGCATTGTCTTTTAATTTGCATTGAATAGAGCATAACCCAGTATACCTTCTTTGGGGATCTTTGAGAAACGAAAACGTACTTTCTACCCTTTCGTTTTTAAAGTACTAGCATAATTGGTTTTGCAACCAGGTACACAACAATGCCAGGGCATCTGTAACAAAAAACAAAAGTATTATTAATGTTGTTTTTAGTTTACACATTTTGTAACAAGAAGCAAAATTATTATTATTTTTAGTTTGTTTTGTAGGTTATATTTATACTTGCCTTTTAAATTGTCATTAAGAATCTTCTAAAAGTTCTAAACTTAATGAAATTTCACTTATATTAATATTTTCTAATTGATTTAAACATAATTTACAAATAAAACATTCGAACAAAGTTAAAAAAACACTAAATTCAACAAACTTTACAAGCCTTCCTATATGAAATGTTAAACAAAACAAACCACGGTCGGACTACCACGCGTTGTTGCCAAATTTCTACTTCATGGCTTGGAAGTAAAGGTGGCTGTGCCACTCCACAATGTGGCTACCCACGCTTAGTAATATAGCTCCTACCAACCTAATACGCCGCGAACATGGATTGGTTAAAGACAATACAACAAAATTATGGATAATCGTCAACTTCTAGTCCACAACGACATTTCCGATATTCTTGGAAACCTTGTCCGATCCAGGTTGTCCAATTTTGATTTAATGTCCGATGAAGAGAAAAGTGTGAAGGTAAAACAGATCCATACTATCATAGTTTACTGGACATCACAGGCGAATTTTAACGTCACCGGAAGATTTGGGAAACATTTAATCGAATCAGAGCAAATTGGGAAGATGCGCCGACCAAGCATTTAGTACAAGACGCCCACATAGAGCATTCTCAGGCAACCCTAAAGACTTCGTAATGGCAACAAAAAAACATCGGAATCTACAGAGATGTAATATTTACCATATTTTTTATTACCGTGTATCATAGTAATGAAAAATAGTCACGAAGTCAGTGAACTGGCAAAATGAAGCAACCATATTTAAAAGTATGAGAGAGATGAAGTCTTTAAACGAGAAAACAGTAAAAGAAAAGCGTAGATAATAAGGCAGATTTCCAAAAGAAAACTTAAGAAAGGGGAAGAAAGGGGAGAGAAAACACTCGCCCTGTCTGCTGTTTTAGCCAAAATCTCCTCTCCTTGCAGGTCTGTTACAATCAGCCTATTTTCTTGTGCGCCTACTATACCTAGAAAGGCGGTTAATGCAACCTCTTCATTATTAATGGAGTTACTGATTTTCTTAACTATTTCGTCCAATGCTGTTTCTGTTGATTTTCCTTCTTGATATTTATGTTGGTTTTCATTGAGAGGATGATCCCTCAATGGCTCCCTTCATATGTCTATCAAGAATTTTCTCTATTGGCTTCAACAGAAATGATGTAAGACTGATCGACCTCCAGGATGTAGGCTTCGATGACTGTAAGGGTTGTGTAGGTACACCACCCTTACAGTCATCGAAATCTTTGGTATATAACCTAGTGCTATCCTAGCCCTAAAGATCTTTATATTGTTCTGAAGCTATTTTCTTGTGCCATTTTAAATTACTATGGAATCACTAACAGCAGAATTTTACTGTCATCATGTCATGTGTTTGTCTTTTTAAAGACGAATTACATGCTATGATTTTTTTTCTGACGGATATTCTCAAGTTAAAGTTGATTTCATGTAATCGAATGAACTATCTTATAAGTAAAGTCGTCCCAGGAGCGCAACTCAACAATATTGGCAATATCATTTTAAAGTCGTCTACTTTAAAATGCATAATGTATGTCTGAATTGTCAATATAAATGAGTCAGATAAAATTAAATTATTAGAAGAATTTTTCACTATGTAACAAAAAACAAAATTTGTTCAATTTACTGTTTGTATTTTGAGAACGATTTCCGAAGTGGAAATTGAAACGTCAATAAACGTATTTTTATCTTTAATTGTGGCTTATTCCCAGTTAAATAGTAATTAATCTAAAGATCTTTGTTAGGATGGGCAGTAAGATGTCCAATTCTTTTTGTGTAAAGGTTAAATTCCGAAAGTGGCTGCAGACTGCAGACTGTAAACCGCAGACTGCAGCGACAGTGTCGTCTGCGGTCAGACCAATTCCGAGCAGAACTGCACTGCATCTACAAAACAGCGACAACAGCATTGCACGATGGGAATTTATAATAGTAGAATATTAAAAGTCGTATAAGTAGGATGTCAGACGCAATGAACAACGATGAAATAATGTTATATCTTTTGATAGAAGAAAAAGATGACGACGATCTTTTACTTTTGCATTATAAAAGAAAAAGGAAACCAACTACATAGGTCCCTATTTAAAAATAGACAATTTGAAGGAAGTTATTCAATACTCAATAAAAATAATCTAATGGCTAACGAAGATATATTCAGAAACAGCAAAAATACGTGTTGTCACTCTGCGGTGGCGACGTTCTGCTTACGGTGGTGACAGTGCCGCTCTACTGAACATACAGCTCATAAGAAACCATATCAACCAGTAGGTCTGTTGCTGCGGTCTGCGGTTTGCAGTTTGCAGTTTGTGGTCGTGTTCGGAATCGTACCTTTAGGGTAGGAAATATTCCATCTTCCTGTGGAGATTCAAATGGAGCAAAGTGATTTATGGTCAACTTTACATTCTTCGTTTTATTTGTTTTACAGAGAATTTCCAGTCTTCTTTCCTAGGATACCCTTTCTTGTGATCTGGTGCATATAATATATTAAAAAGAGTTGCTAATAACTACTACTTTGTTTTAGTCTTTGGCTGGCTTTTATTGGTTTTGTTTCATTAACTGCATTTTAATCGTGAAATTTGTATTTATCGTCGATTTATAATGTAAGTAGATGCCATAAAGATTTGAGTTTTCCATATCCTAGAATTAGCAACACACCATGCTTACATATTTTTCTCTTTTACGTGTATTGAAAAATTAACCTATTTTTAGGGAAATATTCATTTATGATTTCGTCTTTATACTAATTACAACGTAAGTTTATAACAATGGTGTAAGACTGACAAGAATTATATTCCCCACGTGTTTATTAATATTAAAAAGTGGATACATACATTATATTTTCAGCATGTGTTTGAGTAATAATTCGATAATAATGAGTGGTTGTTGCGTTGACGTTACCACAAATAGTTTTTTTATGGAAAATAATTGAGATAAGACTCAAGTGGTATTTTAAATCATAATTATTTAAATGTTAATGCTAAAGCAAATCGTCGAGTACATGCAGAACATGTAATTATTACCTTTTAAGCACCCATAAAAAATGTTTTATTTATCATATGATAAACTTAGTGTGGGTAAGAAGGAAAAAGCGACCAGCTGATTAAAATAGAATATTATTGTGATGTATACTTAACATTTTTTACCATTCATGGACTAGATTAAAACACTTTTTAATATTACGGAAGATTAGGAATGGTTTCTCTGGAATTTTTTCTTCTTATTGCATTGTATATCCGTTACGACTGTTGACTATTATCATGGCTATTCTAACTTTATGGACTGCTGTTCTAAAAAGTTCTGTAGTCGTTAAATTGTACCAATCTCTAAAATTGCACAGATCTGATACTCTACGCCTTCCTTGCCCTGTATTGCCGTGCTCCTTACCCTGCAGAATAGGTTGGAGCAGACTGCATTGACGTTGTTCACCTCTTATCAACACGTATTCCCTACACCTTCAACTTACAACATATTATTCTCTTACCTTTGCCTTTGGTCCGGCTGTATTTCTTGGTCTTCTTTCTCTTCTTGATCACTGCACGGATGTAGTTGTGTACGCTGTCCAACCTGCTTTACTTTCAATCATCCACCTGCATTACCTGCAACCATTTCTCCCACTGTCTCAAAATTCAAACCTGTCTGTCTTTCTATTCTGCTCTTTTCTACTATCCATCTGTTGCAACCCAACATCGTATATGTGCGGATGTAGCCAGTCAGCCTTTCAGAATCCAGAGCGGTCGGGCTTAAAACACCCGTATCCTGTGAGCACCTGCGCTACGAAGTAGCGCAGTCACCTGTGATTACAGTCCTCCCGATCTTTTAGGTTCGCGAAAAGCATATTTTTCTTTTGTTCCGCATCCTCCGTGCTGGTTCATTCTTCTTGGTATCTTTGATTGACCTTTCCCTTTGTTGTCTTCTATCGGTCTTAGTAAGGTCTAGATCTCTTCTCTCAGATAGTTGGTTTCTTTGCACTGTCAAGGCATGCAGATGAACACATCCATTGTTTGTCCACAAGTATGCCACAGACAGCGGATAGATACTTAGAAGGCTACCCAGTGAAAGGCTACATACCCGATGAAAAGTTATTTCCACTATATCTTAGTCCATACAATAGTCCATACAATAATGTGCATATATAAAAATAAAATTTGTAATACCAACTCTTGAACTAAGAAGTGTTATTTGGACAAAAAATTTTGAAATCACAGATGATATAAAACAACATGCTAAACCGACATAGAAGCTAATGATCCAAGATAGAAGACAATAGATATTGGGATGTCTGTATCCAAAGATAAGTTATTCTTTACTTGTTGTAGATAGAGATGGTAATACTGTGTACTATTTTAAACTGATAACAACACATTAATCATTGTAGTTTTATTTTTGTTTTTTGTATAATTTATAATTATAATTAATTTGTTAAATTACTATGTTTTCTCTTCCAGATCAAGCTGACATGTTACGGCGAGAATTGGACAGCAGATTTTTAGCATCTCAAGACCGAAGTTTAGGTGTGGCACCGCCGCCATATTTGAGGACGGAAATGCATCAACACCAACATCATCACACGCACGTTCATCAGCACACTACGTCATTGCTACCCCCTCCAGCGGCTTCCAGTTTGTATCCATCACAATTGGTAAGTTGAAAATTTATCGACAATACTGAATAATTGTTAATTTTTATTAATTATTAGACATCTATGCATTATTCTAATATTAAATTTGATGTTTATCCATAGTCGAACATCTTATTTCTCCTCGTCTATGAATCTTATTCAGTGGCGTACCCGGGAGGGTTTTTGGGGGGTTAAACTACCCAGGACCCTATTCCGACACTGTTATTTACAAATTTTAAGGAATTAAAATGGTAGAGGTAGCATAAAAAAATTTTGGTGGCCAACCAAACCCCCCCTCCCCCCAGAGAAAATTCTAGGTACGCTACTGATCTTATTGCTTCGTGACTGTGAGTGTTTGATATTTTTTTGTTTTATATTAGTTTATCCGTAAACCAGTCTTTCATCTTCCTCGATATAGTTTGTGTCTTATAACGGAGTCCACCTGACATTACATTATACTTAATTCACGAAGTGTAAATATTCCTATTATTATACTATTTACAGATTATTTTGTACTTTGTTTAAAGTAGAAAGTTGCAAATTATTTCTACATAATGGGCGTATTTAGATAATGAAAAATGTCAGGCGCCATCTAGTGAACTTTATAGAAAAAGCACATGTCATAGTAAGTAGTAGGTTTGCTTCTGCATAATCCAGACTGCACTAGTTATTGACTGACTGAAAAGTTTTGAATTAAACGCCGATATACGATGAGTGTTCTTCATCTATACCAGCAAATACTGTCTGATGTACTAATAAGAGCGAAATACGTGTAGGTAGTAAAATAGTAAGTTGACGAGGTGTGAATATTATCATTATCAACCTGTATGTGTCCACTGCTGGACATAGGTCTTGTGCGGCTTGCATCCAGTTATTGCTAACACGCTTTAGGTCGTCAGTCCATCTAGTTGGTGGGCGTCCTCTGCTCCGCATTGCCTCTTGTCTTGGTCTACACTTGACAACACGTTTTGTCCATCGGTTTTATGATAATCTGGCGACGTGTCCTGCCCAATTCTATTTTAGCGACGCGATTTTTTCGATGTTCTACGACGTATTTCTTTGTATGGGCCTCTCAGAGAGACACCCAACATCTGGCGCTCCATAGCCCTCTAAGTCACGCGAATCTTATTGTGAGTGTTAATGTTTCCGCTCCATAAGTGAGTACAGGTAACACACATTGCTCACAAATTTTTCTTTTGAGGTATATGGGTAGATCTGATTTAAATACATAGTTTAGTTTACCAAACGTTTCCCAGGCTAATCCTATGCGACGTATACGATGTAGTCTCCACAATATCCCTTCCATCAACAGCAATATTTCTATGTAGCACCAGATTAATCATTATTTGCGTCTTGTTCATATTAACTTTTAGTCCGACCTCCAATGAAGCGTGATATAATTTTTCAAACATTATAGCATCATCCATACGATAAGCTATAAGGACGATGCCATCTGCAAATCTCAAATGACTGAGCTTCTCTCCATTTATGTTGATACCATGCCCGTTCAGACGTGCCGTCTTACAAGTCTCTTCTAAAAGCGTCGTGAATAGCTTTGGAGAGACGTTGTTTCTTGTTTAGATAGTCTTATATGAGTATATATTGTTATGATTGTTTATTTTGAGTTCAAACTTAGTTTATTGAGCCAATAAAAAAGAATTATAACTTATTTGTTATCAAAAGTAAAATAATCCTTATATTACCTGTGTTCGATGGATTCAAAAGATTTTCTAGTTGTCTTTTATCGGGATAGAGAAGAAAAGGATAAGAATACAAATATATTATATTACAAAGATTTACGTTTCTTTATTTTATATGAACGAATAAAACAATTATTAAATTCTGTCGTTATCTTATCAATCAGCATACAAGAAAATAAATCAAATTATTATGATAATAAGATTATAAAGCTACATACATTTATATTACGTGAAAAACCAATTTTACTTAAAATTTTCTTTACTTAAAAAAAGAAACCACAAAACTTTAAACTTTTGATTAGCCTAACAAAACCTCAGTTCTTAAATTTTAATGATAATGACCATGATGTCGAAACGATCCTTCACAGATATAAAATTCAATTGTACAAACACTTACAGTTTATTTTCTTCTTGAGTTGTATGTTGGAACATACCCAGAAAAGTCCAGTCTCCTCAAATATGTGATCTCCCCTCTTTGGCACCTCGGCTCCTTCTTTACGTCTCTGCAAACCTCCTTCAGACTACACAAAAAACACCTGATTCACTTCTCCAAACTCCGCTACTTATTTATGACACCAGGACCTCCTTTTGTCAACTTTGCTGCCGTAAGAATACTTTCACATATACTTTATAAAATGCCCACGGTAGATACAAGGACCTCTTTTAATCCACTTGTTATCTCCTTCTTCAAACTATTCACTTCTTTTCGTTACGCCTGTATCCAAACTCACGAACCACACCCTATCTTGAGACAAACGACTGTTTCCTTTCGATGACCAAAATATGACTAACTTCTCCTCTCTCATGATCGACTCACCAAATTCCCATTTAAAAACGACCATCCAATCAAAAAGCTTAAATTGTGTTTACCATGATTTTGGAAAAGCTTAATTTCGGTTTCAGAGAAAACTAAATAGCTTACTTTAAAATTGGTTTTTTTTTCAATACATCATTTATACATATTTCAAAAGATTAAAATATGGTCATTTAATACTCGACTATACAAACAATGAAAAGATTAACTTACAGGTAAAATGTCTTCTAATTCTAAACAAAGGTTTTTTGATAATTTTGTTTGAAACAGAAAAAGGTCGTTTGCCAAACAAATTTCTATTCTTATCTACACTAAATCTTATCTTAAATTACTATATACAATTTGTTTATATTGATATCTTGAAATTTTATTTCGATGGATTTTTTTTATTTATTTTTCTTTGGTTGGAAAAGAAAAAGTATGACAATATATATATATATATATATATATATATATATATATATATATATATATATATATATATATATATAAATTGACATATAATGTAAAGTGTGTAGTGCTACATGTATTACATATTATGTATTATAGATAATGATAATACCCTTTCATCAACGTTAAAAGTTCTCAGAACGCAATATTTGTTCGTAAACAATTTAATTTAAATATAATGCACTTTTTATGCACTTAAGTCTAGTAATTAATAATAATTAATTGTTTTATTCTCAGACATTAATGTGTCCGTCTCATGTAAAGTCATTAATTAATTAATTAAACGGAGTCGTAATTTTTAATAATGTCATTTAAATGTTAATTAAAAAAAGAAATATGCCGAGTTATTTATAGTTTTGTTTTATGTTAGAAAATGTACATAATCAATCGTTAAAATGGTTAGAATTATTCATATTATGAATAATTGCATATTTTATTTTTAATGTAAGTTTTTATGAATTAACTCAGATGAATAATTTACCGTGGAAAAAAAATCTGAAATAACAAATATTAAAAATATTTTTGTGGCAAATTTACTCTAGTAATAAACTTTGTAAAATTGCTAGCAATTTTCTTGTCTTTGTTGTTTTATTTTTAACGCAAATTCTTTTTTAAATAGTCTCTTACACCGGTGGAGCCCCTAGCAAGACGACGGGAAAGTAGTGTGAGTATTAAAAAATTTTTAATTAATGGTTTGAGTCAAAACAGAAAGATATATATTTATAAATCAAAGAGATGCATGTAGAGTAGGCGCTAACCTCGAAATTTGGGATTGTCATCCTTTTGCTTTAGGTATCAGCACTGACGACTGATGATAATTTTGTCCAGGGGGCGTTGATTCAAGAATACAAAATAGTAAATAGGTACTTGCCAAGAGCATACTTCTTAAAATGAAACTCAATGCTTCCGTTTTTATCGGAGATGTACATTTCCGTCATATTATCGTTAAAGTCAGAAATTTCTCCCGCTAATTTTTTCTCGATGAACAACATGGCAAGCGGCGTTAGTTTTTCTTCCAATAATATACTCCTTAGAAACGTATTTGTCACCAGGTGTAATTAACATCATTATTAAAATAATCAAAACTACTTGTTTCACAAAATGTTGAATTCAAACCACATGATACTATTCAATTTAAAATACGTTAGCCACTGATAACATTTTCATGTTCTTGTGTTATTTTTGGCCGCGAGTAAAATATTGTCAATTCCACTTTCAAGACTCATTTTTTAACCGTTGGAAATGCATTGCAAAAGATATCAATGTTTTCTAAAGGTAGTTTCTTTCTATAATCTTCATAATTTTCTTTTTGAAAGAACTTTGCGCCAGATAAATGATTTTTAAGAGCAAGAAGAGCCTTAATGTGAAATATAATATTGTCACAAACTGTCAATAGCTTATTGCAATTTCACGGAGTCCGTTTCAATTATCTGCAGCTGGTTAAGTCATTTTCAACATGTGCAGGATGAATGTAGAATCATTCAATCATTCTACGAAACCGGTTGCTTGAACTGTGGTCTCCTTGTTTAGATTGTAGGATTTCTGGACTCAATACATAGTTTCAAAACGGAATGTTTGGCGTTTGTCTCGATTTCTAAATACAATCTGTATCACTCTAGACTTACAATTTTATAAATAGTATACAAAGTATTGTTAGTTTTTTTGTTTCTGTAGCCTCCAGATTTACAAACTTTTATATTCAAAATAAAAAAGTTTTGTTACAATATTTATATTCAAAGTTAACAGCTTTTGTAATACAAAAAATGTTAGTTTAAGGACATTCCGAAACTGGGAAGCGTGGATTCTCCGTTCTACCGACAAAACATCGGTTTACCAGGAACCTATCCGGGATACACTCCGAGTCTAATGCATCCAGGATTGACTACAGGTCCAACGCCTTTTGTGCCACCAAACCATCTGCCTACGTTTCAACCTAAGGTAAGACTTTCCGTTTCTAATTAATTTTTGGGAGGGATTCTTCAAAATGCTACTCATTTATTTGTAGTCTGTTTAATGTGACTGTATCGCAAAATTTGCTAAATATTAAGACTTTGAAAACTATTGTTTTTATAATTAGTAACAAAATGAATAAACGTCTTAGCAAAAAATATGTCGCTCTAACTGTATAAGCTTTATTTTTACTCGACCACAGAGTCATGAAGTGACGTGTAAGAAATCCTAAACACTTGGAGCCCTTCCATTAAGGAATACTTTTTAAAGATTTTTTCATCGTTATAGAGGGGACTCTGGAATCTTCAAAAGACATCTCAGTCCAGGACGCCGCCTGACTGACCTTAGTGCAGGATTCGTTCTTCGTACTCCCGGCGATAGTTCCCGAAGTACTGTAGATCGCCCTCTCGTCGCCGAGTGTAGGCCGAATGCTAAACCAGATCCCCTCTGTCATCCAGCGATCCGTAAGCGGAATGGCTGCTGTAAGGCTGGCATTACTTGGCACAGACTGACAGCAAGCAGGCTTCTCCTTTTCTCTGTGTAACCCGTTTTTGGTCCTATTGAATTTTTGTTTTCTGATGAACCCCGTTCATTGTAGCACATGGAAGACTTTCATCGCTCCTAGTACGGCATCACTTCAAGCTGGGTATTTCCTCCTTCCCCATAGTCTGACTCACACAGTAACTCATGCAGTCTAATCCATACAATCTAACTCATGTTTTTCTATCTTCAACTTACAGCATCTTTATTCTACCTCTTCTTTTTTCTTGATCACTGCACGGATATATTTGTGTACACTAGTCCAATCTGCTTTATTTTCAATCATTCTCTCAATCATGTCTCTCTCTCTCTGTAACACAATTTACACATGTCTCTTTCCATTCTATTCCTTTCTACTATACATCTGTTACACTCTAACATCGTACGTCGTACGTGTCACAGTGTAGACATTCCGCATTCCGCAGTCCGCAGTATAGACATTCATCCGTGTGAGCCTTTCCGAATCTAGAGAGGTAAGTCCTAAGACACCCGTGTCCTCTGAGCACCGTGTTGTTACATTCTTATTGCCATCTTTCAATTGACATTTGCCTTTCATGTCTTCTCTCGGCCGTGGACTTAATCTATCCACTCGTGTCATGAGCCTCCTGTTATCTCTAGTGCCTCACTCGAGACTGGTACTGCATAGAGGACAATCTATTTCACAACACCGTTTAAGGCCCTTCTACTTTCGGATTTGGGTCCTCCAATGTTGAGCATCACCCTCCCCAACACTGTCACACTATTCACAGCCTTTCGGGCTACCTCCCGCACGTGCTTCCCCCATTTTCCATTCTGATGCAACGTCACTCCTAGTATCACACCATTATTCTAGGTACTTTACGTGTTTCTTGGTTGTTAGACATAACTCCGCACATTGTACTTCCACACTTTGCCTGTTCCTTTTCCACTTCAGAATGAGAGCTTAGGTCTTCTCTGTCGCGAGTTTTAGTCCGCGCTGTGTCATTCATTTCTTCACGACGCCGCCTGCATTCTGAACTCAGCATTTGAAATATTGCTCCTGTCGCACCACTACCAGCACAGCGAGATCTCCGTATTCACAGTTCATAACATCATATAGCAGGTTCCATAGCGTCGGGCCCAAGAGAGATCCCTGGGGGATCCCGGCCATCACGTCATCAGATAACCAAAACATTTTCTCTTCTCCATTGCCTTCAATACCTCGTTCCACTGTAGCGTATTGAATGCGTACATAACATCGGACAACAGCAGGGACGCCCAGCGGTGTTCATCCCCTCTGTTGTGCAGTTCGTCGAGAACCCTCACGATTGCATCAATCGTGCTTTTCCCTTTTCAGCTCACCGATGCGCGCAAGGAGGCAGATGGTGTGATACTTTTCGCCAGCTTTGGTGAGTAGTACTGACGGCGATGTCCTCCAAGGCTTGGGAAAGGTCTGTGCTTTCAGCACTGCATTCATGTGTTCCAGAAGCCACGCAGACTCCACCCGCCATAAACCCTTCGCCGCCTCAGGTGGTATCTGATCCAGTCCGGGGGACCTGCGCGTCTTGAGTGAACCAAATGCCTTCGACATCTGACGACCGCAAAGAGCTCTCGAGCTTCTTGTCCATAAGCATTTAGTAAGGAGGATACGCAATGAAATTTCTTCATGGCGATCCTGTATCCCTGACCCCATCCAGATTTTCTCAAAGCTCTTTTCAGTGCCTTCTTTTTTTGTACGAATTTTCCTGTAAAATTCCCTCTTCCGTGTGCGGTACTTTTCCTCGATCTCCTAGATGACTTCAGGGTTAATCCTTGCTCTTCAATCAATTCATTTCTCAGTGCCTCCATGTACACATACCACCAGTATGGCATCCTGTTTACGTACCACTGTATGACAGTGTTTACCATCCGAAGTAAGAAACATCCTAAGTAAAGCTAACATACATATACACCCAGAATTTGCTAACATCTACATTTGTACTACTGTTGAAAAAAGAGAGACTGTAACACTGTAGCGATTACAAACTCATCAGTCTTATCAGTCGTACATAATTAAATTAGAGAGAAATGCGAAGATCTCGACTAAAACTCACGTCCTCCATAGTTAATTGCGTTAATTGTTTAAAATTATATAAAAACAGTAGTTTTTTTGGGATTTTATTAATACATTAATTATCATCGTACATCTACCTATACCATAAATTATATTAATATACATTAAATTAATAAAAACAGTTATTTTTTTCATGTTATATTTTCAATAAGACCCATTATGCTTTTATGTGACCACTATGCTAAAATCATCGCTGCATATTTATAATTAAAATTGGGTTTTTATTACAGGGGTAGTTCTGGAATTTGTTAGGAATATATCGTGTGTTAAAACGAAAACCAAAAATCACGTTAATTGTCCAGACAGTTTGTGATGGCAGTTTTCAAAGTTTGTAACAAACAATCTATTAAATAGGAATCTTTATAAAGGTTCTCAAACTGTTTTCTTATGAGATATTAATATGAGTTAATTATTATGTTTGTATGAGATTAAGCCATCATTGATTGTAATGAAAATTTTATTTTTAATTACCGTTTGACGTTTTGATTCCCACTTCGGAAATCGTTTTCAAAAAAGATTATTTTAAAAAAATTGTGCGGAAAATGTATAACCAACAAATTCTTAGCGGGTTATGCTTTTTCTAAACTGACGGGTGGCTTACTTATCCTCAATTTTGTAGGCAATAGCCATGTTTTTAGCCGAAAAAATCTGAGGATGGTGTTTTTACCGTGTTTATAACAAATTGTAACTATTTTATGTGTTTATGTAGGTATTATATGTTTGTGTATTGTGTGTTCCATATGTATTCCGTATAATTGTAGATAAAAATATATCACCCACTTTCTATTAATCGGCTGTTGTCGGTATATTCTTCTTATTGACTTCCTGTCTTACTAATAAAACACTCGTATTCTAAGGTTATTCCGTATTTATACTTAGAATAGTTATCCTAAGTATAAGGTAAATATAATACTAAAATAATTTGTTACAAATAAACTCGGTATAAGTTAGTTATAAGTATTCCCACTTTATTCCGAAATAATAGTTTGGCAATGTCGCAATCTTTTGCATAAATACATAGAACAACGAAATATTGAGTGAAATTTGTCAATTTTGATTTGTCTTTGAAACTGAAAATGACAACTGACACCATATATATCTTTATTTGTTATCTTATATGTTGAGTTTGAGTATTTAAAAATTGCAAAAAACTTTACACCGCCTTTAGAAAACCGATATTTTATTCTAAATTCTCTATCAGTGTTTTGAAAAGGGGTTTATTCTTTCTTTAAAAGTTTTTCTCTTTGGTGTATTTTCCATCATGTTAATTAAATTATCAACATCCTCGACAGCCGCAACATCTCTTAAAACATTTTTTTTTATTAAATAGCTACTCACAAAATAATACAAAAAATAATATATTCTTGCCACTGATGACTTTCACATTATTATAAAATAGGTTATACCGTTATACCAGACTTAAACTAGGGTGCGGCTTGGTATAATCTTGGAATAAAATCTTATATCAAGTATAACCTATATCCAAGTTATTCAGTGTTTATTGGTAGAGATTTTGCCTATACCTGAATTATTCTCAGTATAAGTTTTATACTTGGTTTATTAGTTATGCTGTTCTTCTTTTGTTATTTGCAACCAAAACCTGCTACATCGTGCTGATGGGTTTGCTACACATTTTTCATTATTAAGGTGGATGACAGCTGATACTTTGACTTTTCTTTTTTTCATTTCTGTTTCTTTCATGATTATTTATGCATCTTTCCATTGTACTCTATGCTCGTTGTCCCAGGCATGTTTGAATATGTGAGTTTTGTTGAGGTCTCTGTTTTTGTTACGGTTCATGTACATTTATCTTGACACTTGGTGGACTTGTGGTTTCTCCCACATAGAAATTGGTTCATTAACATTGTATTTTACAGATGCTGTTTTTTATTGTGTGTTGTTGGGTTTAGTTTTGGGCAGAATAGGTGTCAGTGTATTGGTGGCTTTGAATGTTGTTGTGATGTGCGTGTTTCCTAACATTTTTTTTTCTGATAAATTCTTTTTATATGGTATTGTAATATTCTGAATTGCTTGTGGTATTTTGTTGTTTCCTTTCTTCAAACTTTTAATATTCCTTGTTTATTAATGACAATGTCAAAACCACTTGTTAGCAGCTTTTTTCTTTCTGGAATTCAAGTTTCCTCCTTTTTTGAAGAGAGATATTAATATGCTTGATCTCCATTCTTGTGGTAGCCTTTTTTGTTCTGTTATTTTTTGGATTAGTTTTAATAATTATTATTTGGTCAGATCTGGTCCTCAGTACTCGTTAGGTAGTTTCGTATTCTGACCTCTCCTATTGATTTTCTATTCGACATCCTCTTTGCTGTCTTCTTCAGGGCTTTCGAGCCCCCAGAGAAATGTGTATATATATATATAT